GTAAGAATTACTGATTTAATTCTTCTTAAATTGTTTGTAATTTAATTTTTTCAGAAAATAGATGCAAGTAAAATTGTGTAGATGTTGAACCCAAAGTTATCAGCATTAACCCAAAGTTATCAGAGTTAACCCAAAGTTAGCAGTCTGACCCAAAGTTATCAAAAGTATTACTGATTCAATAGGACTAGATTTGTCAAAAGGTTAACAAGTGGACATTTTCCAGAACTTCAAAAAATGAATGGCATTCTTTTGCCTGCTTTTGAATTTTAATTAATAATTCTAATGATAGCTGGCATTTTTATCTTTCTCATGGAAAATAAGCACAAAGATAGAGAACACAATTCAATATTTATAAAAAGATGCTTTTTTCTAAATATAAAAATCAGTACCTATCACTACAATTCCATGTTAAACTGGGCAGTACAAGTAGAAGTTACAGAAGTGCTCAATGGTGGCATACCTCGGCTTCCATGGAAGTCAATGGAAATTTTATCATGGATTTTAAGGGGAAAAGAGTGAAGCTAGCCCTGAGCAGTTTTCAAAATCGCATACGATGACTATTAATTTGAGAGGAAAAAAAGGGTGGTTTTTTTCTATTTTCTTTTCTCTAAATGTCACATCCACCAATCTCAGACTAATGGATGGCTTGTCTTGACAGTACAATGGAGATGTCAGTCAGGCACTGTGGTATGAAATGGATTTCCCCCCCTCCCCACTTGACTTTCTTTCAAGAAATAGTTCTTTCAAAGCTGTAAAATACTAACAGTATCCTGGTTTCAGTTGTGATTTTAGCTCTTAAATAAAAATTTAAAGAAATAATTGTCCATAGCCTCAAGAGGACCTTTTCATAACTGCCAATCAAACTAAAGTTAATGTTAGTCCAATATTTAACAAAGGGTAAATGAGATGACCCAGGTCTTATTATAAATCTGTCAGCCTGACATTGATCCTGGGCAAAATAATGGAGTGGCCAATACAGGAGTTGATTAATAAAGAATTAAAGGAGGGTGATATACTTAATGCCAGTCAACATGAGTTTATGGAAAACGGATTTTTGTCAAACTAACCTGATATCTTTTTTAATATGTGATTACAAATTTTGTTGATAAATGTAATAGTGTTGATGTAATATACTCAAACTTCTATAAGGCATTTGACTTGCTATTGCATGATATTTTGATTAAGAAATTGAAATTATATACAATTGCCATTGCAAACATTCAGTGGGTTAAAAACTGGCTAACAGGTCTCAAAATGCAATTGTAGATGGGGAATCATAATCGAGTTGGTATATTTGTAATAGGGACCTACAGGGATCAGTTCTTAGTTCTATGATATGTAACATTTTTATCAGTGACCTGGAAGAAAACATAAAATCATCACTGATCAAGTTTTTAGATGACACAAAGATCAGAGGAGTGATAAATATTGAAAAGAATAGGTCACTGATACAAAGTGATCTGGATTGCTTGATAATCTGGGCACAAGCAAACAATATGTGTTTCAACACTGCCAGATATAAAGTCATGATTCTAGGAAGCAAGAATGTAGGCCATACTTGCAGAATGAGGTACTCTATCTTGGGAAGTAGTAACTCTGAGAAAGACTTGGAGATTCTGGGAGATAATCAGCTGAACAGTAGCTCACCTGAATAAACAGGGGACTATCGAGTAGAAGTAGGGAGGTCATGTTTCTTCTGTATTTGCCATTGGTGCAACTGCTACTGGAATACAGTGCCCAGTTCTGGTGTCAACAGTTCAAGAAGGGTGTTGATAAATTGGAGAGGATTCAGAGACAAGCCATAAGGATGATTAAAGGTTTGGAAAACATGACTTATACTGAAAGACTGAAGGAGTTCAATTTATTTAGCTCGTCAAAGAGAAGGTTAAGGGGTGATTTGATGACCATTTATAAGTATCTACATGAGGAAGAGAAATTTGATAATAAAGGACCCTTTAATTTAGCAAACAAAGGTATAAGAAGATCTAATGGCTGGAAGATGAAGCTAGACAAATTTAGACTGGAAATAAAGTGCACATTTTTTAACAGTGAGGCTAATTAACCATTGGAACAACTTACCAAGGGTTATGGTAGCGATTCCATCACTGGAAATTTTTGAATCAAGATTGGATGTCTTTCTGAAAGACATGCTCTAATTCTACCAGGAATTAGTTTGGGCAAGTTCTATGTCCTGTGTTATTCAGGAGCTCAGACTAGATGGTCACCTTGGTCCCTTCTGGCCTTATAATCGATTTAATTATAAATCCGAACTGTGAGATTACATGTTGGCTGATATAGAAGATCTGAAGCCTTTGAGGAATCAGGTTGTGCTAGGATGAGAGAGAAAATTCTAGTGATCTAGGGAAGTGACTGCAGAATTGAAGTTGCCCCCTGGTCTTCAGTGTACTTACACTGAGGTTCAGGAACAGTTATTAAGGGAAAGAGGCGAAAGGTGCCCCATATTTCCCTGCGCCAGCTACCCACATGGTGAATATCGGCACAGAAGGGAAGCTGCCTCCTCAGAGCTATTATTTTGTCTTATGCAGGTGAGCAAGAAGTGAGAAAGTGGTAATGGGGAGGGGACTCTCTGAGACAGTCTGTTTTCTGAGCCACTCCTGAGGCAATGCAATAACATGCTGGCCTGTGTGTACATGCTACTAATGGCAAAGTCATGATTGAGCCCTATATAATAATTCTAAAATCTCTGGAAATTTTCCGTGGGAGCTATAGGTTGTATTCTCTTCTCACTTACACCAGAGTAAATCACAGTGTTGAGGACAGTGGAGCTATGCTGTGTGAAAAAGAAATCAAGCCCCCCCCTTTTATTTTTAAATGCTAGCTGATATCCATGTCCTTGAATACACCTTTGAAGAAGAATATATCCTTGAAGTGAGCACTGCTGACATTAGCAGTTCTGAATATCGTCTCTTTTCATTATTTCACTTTCAATAGCAAAGCCAATAAATGTATGGCCTCTCTCAGTAAATCTAGCATAAGGGAATGCTACTAGGAAGGAAAATCACACAGCCAATTGATTTGAATATCAAAGCAGGTCTTCTGGGCCAGTTTGAAATGATTAGAATTACCAAAGTGTTAGATTTATTTCCTAGATGGTGTGTGTTAACAAGGATAGAAAAAATACGTATAACAAGAAGTGACTTGATGAGTTCTGGAATTCATAATTGATTATTAGAGCCCAGTGAAAAGTAAAGTGCTGGTGCCTCTGTGTATTCCACGCATGGGGTATTCATGCGCTTGAAGCTGCAAAAATCTTGCAAGTAGTGTCCATTGATCCATGTCTGCATCTTGGTTTCCCTTGTGTTCTGCAACTTGACCATCTCTCCAGTTCCTTCTTACCATCACATGGTCTAAGTCAGAATCCTCCTCCCATCAAATTTGTCTTCATCTCTGTAAATATAATTGTATTTAGTTTGTTAGTGGTTTTTATAGTTTTCTGATAAATCAGGAACATTACTAGTGAAGGGTATGCCTGTTTGGTCTGGCAACAGCAGCCAGGATCTTCATGAAGGTCTTTCCAGTGGTGACAGCACAGCTGAGACAAAATGGTGACTGACTTCTAACAGTTCTTGCCTAAAAGTACTGTTAGCAACCTTGTCACTATTTATCTCCTGGTATCCTTGGAATCTGCATAAATGTGGAAATGTTTACCCTGATTCTCCCGCATATCATATACTTTATAGTGGTGACCATGGACTCAACCACAGCAAGGGCCTTCCTCCCTGTGGACAGATACCATGCCGTGAACAGTCTAATAAACCAAATCACTCACAGACCTGAAACAATGTTCCAGGCCTGTCTTTCCCTGTTAGAATACATTACCTGTGTAACCCCATTTGTCCGGCTACAGCTCTGTTATCTGCAAGCCTGGCTCTGGTCAATGTATACGCCAGACAGGCACACCATGAACTCTATAGAGACAACCCCTGTCAATGTCAGGGCTTCGTTCACCTGATGGATGAACCCAGGACATATATGCATTGGAGTCCCTTTCCTACCTCCCACACTCAACATGCCAGACTTATCCTTGGATGGTCCCACATGGATGGTCACATAGCACAAGGTACATGGACACCTCAAAAAGCCAAGATGCATAGTAACCTCCTGGAACTAAGAGCAGTCAGGCCAGCCAGCAATGAATTCCTTCAACTTATACGATCTTAACATGTCTGGGTAATGTCAGACAACACAGCGACCCTCTTCTATATAAACAAACAGGCAGGGACAAAATCCCTTCTATGCATGCAACCATTCAACTTATGGAACTAGTGTATCCAGAACTTCATCACAATGTCTGCAATGTACTTCCTAAGTGTCCAGAACTTGCTGTCAGACAGCCTCAACAGGCATTTCATCACCAATCACAAATGGGAATTACACAATTCAGTGCTGATCATCTTCACACAATGGGAAACACCATCTTGGGACCTGTTTGTGTTCCAGATGAACAAGAAGTTCAATGTATATTTTTCCAGAGCAGCACAATGTCAGGACTTATACGGCGATGTCCCATATTATCCTGGATAGGCCACTTGAGGTATGCCTTCCCTCCCATCCCGCTACTGTCCAAGATTCTATGGAAGATTCGTCACAACAAAGAACGACTCATTCTCATCATACCCATTTGGTCCAGACAGTTCTGCTTTTCAGACTTCTTATGAATGTCAGTCCATCAACCTATCAGCATTCAGTCTTTCCCATCCCTGCAAACTCAAGAAAGCAGCAGGGTCAGGCATCCCAACCTGGACTCTCTTCACTCACGGCTTCGTATTTGGATGGGCATCAGACCTAGAACATCAGACCTAGAGTGTTCATGTTGGGGGTGTACAACCTATTCTTAATAACAGCAGGAAAGATTCTACCAGAAAATGTTACCTAGCCACTGGAGGATTTCTCTACATGAGCACAGTAGAACCAGATATCATCAGAGTGAGCAGGTATTCCTGCTATTTTAGATTATCTCCTTACCCTCCAGTTGTCAG